GCTTGGCATTCTCGAAATAATTAATTACTAGATCCTCCGATGCGTCCGGTGGGAGTCCAAAAACTTCCACTGTGCATTGTTCGGGGCGTGAAGATGCACTTGGAACCGTCCCAGTGGCTGTCCAGTTGAAAGCACGAGGTGGTTCAGAAAAGTCAGTACTGTTCCGTTTGTTGTCTTGATAAAATTGTTGATTTTCAAACCGCTGCGACAAAAGGAATGATACCTCGCGTTAAGGTGGCTCAAAACAGTTTCTAGCACTTAGATTGTGATGGGTTGTTTAAAACTACTCTTTATCACTTGATGCTACAATCATGGTATTAAAAAACTGCCCAATCATTGGTGAACACGTTGTTATCATTTTCGTGACACAATAGGTTACCAGAGCAACAGTATGACCTGCTAAAAACACCCTTTATTACAGCTTTAGGGGCTTATTATTCGAAAACGGCACGGTGAATGTTTTTTATCTCATCAAATTTTAATAAGCATGATAAGACGCAACTTTTGGCAAAGTTTTAAAGACATCTGTGCATAGGGTGCAGAGCCATCTTAACTTGTTGAAAATTTAATGTGGCTCTGAACCCTATGTACAGATTTTTTTAAAACTTTGCCAAAAGTTGCGTCTTATTATACCTATTAAAGTTTGATAATATAAAAAAAATTCACCAAGCCGTTTTTGAATTATAAGCTCCTAAAGCTGTAATTAAGGGTGTTTTTAGCAGGTCATACTGTTGCTATGGTAATCTATTGTGTCACGAAAATGATAACAACGTGGTCACTAATGATTGGGCAGTGTTTCTGATACCATGATTGTAGCATCAAGTGATAAAGAGTGGTTGTAATGACTCATCCAAATCTAACTGCATGCTGGAGACTGATTGAGCCACCTTAAATCTGTAAGTAGATAAGAACCCATGCACTGACGGTTAAACGTTCTTAAGTAAATTCTCGAGTCTGTTAATCAATAAGCAATGCACATACCTTCCGTGGAAATTAATTTAATGAAGTAATAATACTGCCCATTAATGCAAGAAACTCGAAAGAATCATCAATCAATGAATTGGCAGAAACTAGTAAAGGAACGTTGCGTGGTGGCCTAGAGTCTAAATCCAGATGCATGCAACGGATCTGATCACATGCAACGGATCTGTTCCTTAACTTTGTTCTTGAATTGCAAGTTGTAGTTCTTGGGCAATGCTTCTCCCTCATAACCCTTATCCTGAGCTGTGAACTTACCATTTCCCGTGGGCTGTGCTTGTTGTCTGGCTGAAACTTGTTTG